GGGCTCGAGGGCATTCTCTTGGGCCAGGGCAGCCTGCCGCAGCTTGGCCAGCGCCTCTTGGATCCTCCCGGCCTTCTGCGCATCTCGTGCCCACCTGCGTTGCCATGCTTCTTTGCGCAAGTCCACCAGCTGCTGCGGGTGGTTGATGACCTGGCCCTCGTGCTCTAGGATGTCCTCCAAATGGCTGCGCTCTGCTGCTTTGGTGTAGGCGTGGGCCATCTTCGCACTGCCAGCCGTGGCGTCATGCACCCAGTGGATGTACGCCTTCTTCACCGCCTTTGTGAGTAGCTTGGCCATGCTCTTTACCTCCTCTGCTACCCTGCTGATCGTCCCTGGGTCCACGAGGGCGCCCTCTGCTATGGCGTGCAGGTCTGCGAGGAGGGCCTGCTGCTGGTCCTTGGCCGCACCCTCATCGTTCAGCCTGCCTGGGTCAGGCTGGTTGAGCTGCTGCGCTAGCTGCTGCCTTGTGTGGATCTGCTGCTGCGTCTGACGGCCACTGTGGGTGCAGACCCGCTGCTCTCGGCGGCTACTCTGGCCACCGCCTGTTCCTGGAGCATCATGTTGTTGTCTTCGCGCTGCTCCTTCTGGTGCTCTTTCGCCTATGACTTCTCGCATGAACCTCCTCAGGTTTGCGAGCTCCCTCCAGTGCATCATTTCCAATTCATGCCTCCTCGTCGGCACCTCTCGCGCAAGTCCTTGGAGAACGCCTCGGCGTCGTGGTTCTGCATGTCTCCATGCTCGCTCGCAGAGGTCCCTGATGATGTGGCTGAGGCCAGCCTGCTGGTACCAACGCCTGAGCTGTCTCACCATGCCATTGTTGCCTCCGCCTCCCAGGATGGTCTCCAGGAACGGCACGCAGATCTGCATCCAGTTGCTGTTGTCCGTGGGGAGCTGCACCAAGTTATCCATCCAGATGGCCGCCCAGTACTCCAGGTCGTCTCTCATGGCCACGTAGTCTTCCCGCTCCCGCTGGTGTTGGTCGTCATTCCAGGGGTCTGTAGGGGGCAGGCCCATATCTCGTTGCTCATCTGCCTCTGGGCTTGGCGGCGCTTGGTTCTGACTCCTCGGGTGATCGGTACCCTCTGCCTCCAGGGTGCCAGCTAGCTGAGGAGGTGAGCAGTGCGTGTCACCTGGGGCGGTTTCACCAGATCCAGCTGCCTGACGACGTGCGGTCTGGCCGTAGCCGTTGCCATCCAGCTGCCCCTCGATACGCTGGTGGTACCCATCGCAGTCCTCCTGGTCTGCGGTCTCCTGGCGGTTCTGGAAGCGGTCCTCCTCTTCCTCGAAGGGGTCGTGGTCTTGGTCGTCCGTGGTGCTGCGTCCTGCTGGTGGGTGAGAAACAGGTCCAGCTGCTCGACGGCGAGCGGTCTGGTTGGACTCGAGGCTGGCCTGCTGCCCCTCGATGTATTGGTGGTGCCCATCGCTGTTTTCCTGGTCTGCGATCTCCTGGCGGTACTCCAAGTACTCCTCCTCATCCTCGAAGGGGTCGTGATCTTGGATGTCCATGGTGTTGCGCCCTGCTGGTGGGGGAAGGGCACCCCTCTGCATCCCTTCTGGGCAGCTGTCTGCGGTGCCGTGGGTATGCCCCACGTGGGGGTCTGGGGCGCCTCCTGCTGCGCCTCCACTGCCTGCGCTCCGCTGCTGCAGCTCGGGGGGGCCCTTGCCCCGCTCGGTGGGGGAGCGTTCCACCGAGCTTCCTCCCGAGCTCTTCGATGGGCTCCAGGCTGGCGCAGGGTCGCCTTCTTCGTGGCCTTCCTGGCTGCCCGAACTGACGGGGCCACGCTCCAGCTCCAACGGGCCCTGTCCTCCCCCCGAGTCCTCATCGGGACGTGCTTGGGTCTTGCCCTGTCGACTTGCCGCTGCCTCCTGCGCTCGGGCGCCATGGTGCGAGAGCTGCCGCGCCAAGGAGGAGATCTCCGCCCACCACGCATGGATCTTCCTTTCAACCCCTGCCCATGGCGTAGAGGTGACGGTGTCCTTAACGCTCACGCTCTTGTAGCTCGGGGGCCTGCTGTGCCCGAGATGACGTCCTCGATCTTCCTCTGGGATGCCGATGCTCTCGCGCAGGCTGAGCTCGAGCGTGCTGGCGAAGTGGTCGTACTGTTGCCCCAGATCCAGCATGTCCCGCTCCATCATCTTGCCGACGACAGTGTGCTGCAAGTGCTGGGGCAACTCGTCGTAGACACGCAAGCTGACCCTCTCGGAGGTGGCCTGCCACAGCTCGTCAGGGATGACGTGCTGGACCTCCTTGTCGTAGTACAGCTGCGGCACTGGCTCCATGTCGTTTCCTTCCTGGTCGCATCCTGCCTCTGCCAACGCTTGCTGACGTCGGCGCATGGCCTCCTGGCCTCCTCGCGCCGCTCGCCTGCAAGCGGCTCTGGACTTCGGCATTCTCTCAACTGCGACTGGTGGCTTTATGGCTGCTGGCCTGCGAAGTACCCTGCCCTTGAGCTTTAGAGGCCGCCCTCTCAGCTTCAAGCGGATGCCAATGTGCGGCTTCCACGGCACGGTCCTGAGCAGCTCTAGCTGGTCAAAATACGGCGCCAGGCCCTGCGAGATCAGCGCGAAATCGATGCACCTGGCTTCGCCTCCTGCTGGGAAGCACGTGGGGGCGCCATCCTCCGCCGCTGCTACTTGAGCATTCAGCGCCCTGGGCCAGATGCTGTTGTTGAACTCCGCCGGCGTCATGTTGAAATCCCCAAGCGCTGCCCATGGCCCTCCCCAGACGGCCATCTTTTCCCGCAGGTCGCAGAGGATGTCGACGCTCCTCTCTCCGAAGCCCGTCCCACACTCGAGGTAGACGAAGGCCACTGCGAAGCGGACCTTGTGCAGGTTGGAGATCACCACCGTGACGTCGCTGCCGTCCTCGTGCAGGCAGTGCTCGTCGAAGCCCGCGATCCTGTCCTGGACGTCCAAGGATCCTCGCGTTATGGCACACGTTCCTCCACGAGTGCCTTCTCCTTCTCCTGGCCGTGCCTTGGTCCAGTAGCTCTGCGTGCCTTTCCTCCTGAGCGCCGCTCTTGCCTTGCCTATCTGCGCGGGCTGGCGGAGGTGGTGCTCCGCGATGCCGATGATGTCCCTGTCCTTGGTGTCGTTGATCTCCACGAGGTAGCCCTGTGCCTGGGGGCCCCAGGTCGTGACATTGAAGAAGTCGATGTGGCAAGGGCGGCGAGCCTTCTTCGTGCTCGCCTTGGGGCGGCTACCCTGCTGAGTGGTCACCTTGCCCTTCTGCGTCGACGACTGTCTCGGCGCGCCTGGCCTGCGAGACCTTCTCCCGCGCCTCCTGGATGTGGGCCTCCACTCTAGCTCGGCGTTCCTCTGCTTTGTCATGTTATGCTGCACCTGCTTCTGGTTGGGCAGCTGCCGCGGCGCCGTTAGGCGCAGCCGCAGCAGCTGTCCCTGCTGCCTCAGCGCCTGTGGTGGCTCCTCGCTGAGGGGCTGGGCTGGCAGCGCAGACACGCTTGCCTGGTGGGGCATCTGCTGCTTCTGGGTCTTGCTCTCCGCTCTTTGACAGGCGCTTGGTGCGGGCCTGCTCGAGCTGGCGCAGCTGCTCCTGGTGCCTGGCCGTCTCTTCCTCCAGAAGTCGCAGGTGCTTCGCCGTCTCCTCCTCGTGCTCCTTGACCGTCTGGGCCATGCGCTCCCCCTTGGCTTTTGCAGCTCGCCAGACCTCCTTGTCTGGCTCGGACCACTTGTGGAAGTCGTCAGGCTCGTGCTCGAACTGCTCCAGGAAGGCTGCCAGCGTTGGCTTCTCGGCTGCGGGTTCGGCTGGTGCCTCTTGCTTGCCGACTGTGGCCTTGAGCTTGTCGAACTCATCTTCTGCTGCAATGGATGCTTCCATAGCTTCACGAAGCTTGCGTTCACTCTCAGCCAAGTACTGCTGGGCACTCTCCACTTGCTCCCCTGCCGATCGTACCTTCTTCTGGAGTTTGTCCAAGCGTCGAGCTGCTGCCTCCACTGCCTTGAATCCAACGACTGGTTGATCTGCTGGTGGCTTGGCTGCGGCGAGCTCTGGCCAGAGGGCCTCGTAGTGCTGCTTGAGCGGGTCGTCCTTGCTGAGCTTGCCGTATGCTGCTGCAGCTGCGGCCTTGAGATCGGCGGCCTTGTCGTGAGGTGGTGGCTGGCGTTGGCCTCCTTGCCCTTTCCCGCCTGCACCACCTCCTGGCTGCCAACCATCTGCACAGCTGATCCTGGGCGAGGTTCCCCCTTGGGGCTGTGCTGCCACCCACCCACCATCCTCGTCACGGAAGACGTGTCCGTCAGGGACGAGGCAGGCGAGATTCTTGCCGCAGATGCAGAGGTCGCCCCTGCTGGTGATGTTCTTGCAGTAGCGCCATCTGCTGCACCCGTCACACACCACGTAGCTGCTGCGAGGAGGGCGACTGCCACTGCTGCTCCTCTTCCACGGGGGCACTCTCTGGCGATTCGGGGTCCCCGACCAGGCGCTGCCCGCCCCGCGTCCGCCGCTGCCGCTCCCCATGGCTGCAGCAGTGCCGCGCGCGCGCCCGACGCCCGTCTGGGAACTGTCCTCGGTCCAGAGGTCTCCCTTCGGCCTGGAGGCTGGACAGCCCCCCAGGTCGCCATCTTGAGCCAAAATGGCTACGGAGGAGGAGGAGGAGGAGGAGGAGGAGGAGGAGGAGGAGGAGGTACCCCCCCCTCCCCGCACCCCCCGCCTGTGCGCGCTGCCGCAGTGGAGCAGCCTCCGGGAGCGAGCCCCCCCCGCGCCCCCGCGCTGGTGCGGCGCGCCGCCGGGGGGGAGCCCGAGCGGGAGAGCGACGGGAGGATTGGGGTTCCCCCAACGTGATCTGTCCAGAATCCTCCTCCTCCTCCTCCTCCCCTCCTCCTCCTCCTCCTCTCCTCCTCCTCCCTCCTCCTCCTCCTCCTCCTCCCCCCCCCCCCTTCCTCTCCTCCTCCTCCTCCTCCTCCTCCTCCTCCTCCTCCTCCTCCTCCTTGTCGACTCCATGAAGAGTGCGCAGAATGCACTCCGTCTCCGCAGATCTACAGGGGCTCTGCGCAGTCTGCGTGGACTCGACAGGGCTCGATCCTGGGGCCATTCGGGTCTGCGGTCGATTCTCTCCACTCGAGGAGCGGCATCCGGGAAAGAGACGCACCTGGGTCGGACATGTTTGCGTCCCTCCAGGACTGCGCAGCTCACCGCGCAGCACTGGCGGGCGGCGGGCGGCGGGCGCCCGCATCGCAGGCAGGCCCGTCCCTGTCTGGCAGCGCGCAGCCGTAGCCGCGACGTCAGCGTCATGGTCGTGGTCGTGGTCGTGGTCCTCGTCGTCGAGGTCATCGTCGTTCTGGTTCTCGTCGTCGTCGTCGTCCTCGCCGCCATCATCGTCGTGATCGTCGCCGTTCTCGCCGTCGTCGTCGTCCTCGTCGTCGCCGTCGCCATCGCCTTCGTCCTCGTCGTCGTCGCCCTCGCCGTCGCCGTCCCAGGCGGTGGCGCGAGAGCGGCCCGTGGGAGCGCGCCCGAGGCCCGCGGGCGCCCTCAGGCCGTGCGCCTGCGCTGCAGCGGCTTCCGGGTCCACGAGAACGCGGGCTTGGACCTGGAGGCCCCCCCGATGCTACAGCGGTTGAGCAGGGACCGACCGTCCCGGCACTTCTATAGTCCTACCACGAAATGTTCTTAGAACCCAAAAATGTTCGAATAACAAAATCAACGTTCTTAGAACATTGGCCCAGTGCATTCAAACAAGACAGCCCCAGCCAGAAGTGTTCTAAGAATATGCCGTGGAAGCTACAACAGGTTCTTAGATCATTGTTTGAAAGGGCTATAGGCGAGTCTGGACGCTTCGCCACTATTTGAAGCGTGGGCGCGCATCAAGAAGCCGTCTGCGCTTCGTCGGGGTACCCGGGGCTTCTTCGCTCGGCGCGCTGCGCGGTGACTTCCCGCGGCCGCCAGCGAAGCTGCTGCGGCGTTCCGGGTGCTCCGTGTTTTTGCTCCCCGCAGGTGCACCTCGCGCGCGGGTTGTCAGGGCTGGGTTTCTTGGAAGGGTTTCTTGCGACCACGCCCGCACTGTGCGCTGTACGTTTTCGACCATGGGCCCCTCGCTGCCCATCTGCTTCAGGAAGTCGTCGGCGGTCTTCGATGGCCTTCCGGCGGTCTTCGGTGGTCTTCCCGCGGTCTACGGCGGTGCTCCCGTGGTCTCCGGCGGTGTCCCGCGGTCTCCGGCGTGAAAGCTGGACGCTTGCGTTTAGCAAGGGGTCCATGATCGAACACCTGACAGATGGAGACCGAGCGGACGGACTTGGAGGATCGCGCCGAACCGCCGTTGCATCGGCGATGCATCGGCGAGATCGGCAGTGGCTTTGGCATCATCGGCGTGGAGAAGTGCGGGCTGAACATGGAGCCGCAGCGCCGATGCATCGGCGATGCGTCGGCGATCCTCCAACCCATTCTGCTCGGACAATAGTTGGGAGGCCTGGGTCCTCAGGGGCGCCGAAGCCCTGACCTCCTCGCGTCTTGCGCGAGTTGCGCGGGAAACCGTGCTGGCCGTCTCTGGCCTCTGCGGGAGGGTGCGCTCAACAGGCCCCAGGGGACGGTCAGAAAGCGGCTCGCGAGACGAGAAGCCGGCCCCCGGGGATCGGCGGCGGGGGAGCGAGAAGGGGCGGGCCTTCTACCAGAGGGCTCGGAAGGCCCCCGGCCACTTCCGAGGATCGGGCTGGGCGAAAGGGGGGGACAGCAAAGGGGGGGTTTGAGAATCAGCTCACGTAGCTGATTTTCCTGGCGCCTCCCGGCGCCAGAGGCGGCCATGTATCGAGGAAGGGGCCCCTCGGTGGGGCTGAAACCACCTGCATGCAGATTTCGTACCCCCCCCCTTTCCCGATCCCCCCCTTTCGTTCGGCCCGAGAGGAGGCCTCCTCCTCCCCACTGGCCCCCCCCCCCCCTCGCTCGCCGCCGAGGGGAGGGGCCCAGACCTCTGGGGAGCCGCGGCGTGGAGGCTCGCGCCCTCGGACGGCCGGGGCGCCACCAGGAGCGCGGGGCCCGCCCCTCTTCTCCTGGCCCCACGCAGCCCTCGCCACGAGCACATCGAGACCGCCGCCGAGGTCGGGGGGAGGGGGTGAAGGGGCCCCAGGACACACAAATAAATACACACAAATAAAAATATTCCCCATATTTTCTCTTATTTTCTGGGTTTCTGTCTTCCCCCCCACTTCCCATATTTTCCTATATTTTCTGGGGAATCGAGGATTAATTGTGTCTGTGTGTTTTTTCCTCTCCTGAGGGGGGGGCGAGTCGGCTCACGCAGCTGCTGCTTCCGGCGCCTCCCGTCGCCGGAGGCGCCGACGGATGGAGGAGAGCGCCCGACGGCCGAGCCGAAACCGGCTGCGCGCCGCAGATGCCGTGACCCCACCTTTCCCCATCCCCCCCCCCCTCCTTCTCCTCCTCCTCCTCCTCCTCCTCCTCCTCCTCCTCCTCCTCCTCCTCCTCTGTCGTCCGACCCGAGCACCTCTCGTCACGGAAACATCGAGGCTGTCGGCTGGTCCTCAGTGCTTGGGCCTCTGGAGGGCACGTCCGAGACCCCGGGGGCCACGTCACGAAGAGGACGGTCAGGGACGAGAGGCCAACCCCCGTCGGACCATTCCGCGAAAGAGCCCGACGCCTGAGCCTTCTGTGGCAACTCATGGGATCCTCCCGTTGCTATCTTGTTGGCTCTTGCGAATCGACGCGACTCGACGCTAATCGACGCTTAATCGACGCTAGTCGGCGCGAGTCGACGCTAAATCCACCCTCAGTCGGCGCTCTCTCATCGATTACCAGACGCTAAACGACGCTGGCGCACTCTAACACGGAATTGCGATCCCATGATTTGCCACTGCGGAAGGAGTCTGGGGAGTGGGGAGAGGCGGGGGAAAAGGAGCGGTGGGAACCGACCAGGGTACTGACTCGGAGAGCCAAAGGAGGAATCGGGGGGGGGAACGGCGGGGGAACGAGAGGCGGGGTGGTTGCTGGAGTCGTGCGCGCTCCCTTGGGGAGCCCGCCCGTGCACAGGTGTGATATGTAGGTGGACTGACGTCGTAGATTCCATGATGTGCCCCCAGCACCTAATGACTATCGTAGGTCCTTCGAGCCGCTGTGTCCGTGTTGTCTTGGCTGGTCGCTGCCCGAATCTGGTCCGGCCCAGCGTCGGCGGCACTGGCCTTGGAACGGAAACGGCGGCCTATAGGATCGGCGGCACGTCGGCGACAGAGGAGCACGATGAGACCCGACGGCAGGGCCGAGCGATCGTGGGCAGGGTGGGGCGCTCAGGGCCAGATCGGAGATGATCGGGGATGGACAGACCTCCCTTTAGTAAAACGTGGTTTAGTGAAAACCACCTGAGGCCCAAACCTGGCGGGCGCAGGCCTGGAAAATAACGGCCACGGCGCCCTCTCGAGAACCGAAAACGGACAATTCACTAATCGACGTGTCACTGTTGGGGGTTCTGTCCACCCCCGAGATGAATGGGCGACCACGGATCGACGCTCTGCCCCACTCGGCCAGCCCATCGGCACCTCGCGCCGAAGAGGACGGCTGGGAAGAGAGGGTCAGCGCACCCTTGCCCGAGGAACGTGGGCGAACAAGGAGGGGCAAGGGAGGCGGGGGGGGGACGGGCAAAGGACGGACTGAGAGAAGACGAGGGGGCCGTGACGTCCGGCAGAAGGCATCATGGCCGCGGCCATGGCATCCCCACTTGTCATCGGCCCCTCCTTCGACGCCCCCGAGAAGACGAGGGCGGCAGGGGAGGAGGCAATGATGCCGCCGCCTCTTGGGCTCCCTGGCGACCGCTTCTTGTCCTCGGCCGGGTACCAGTCCAGCCTCTCGGGGTCCACGCGCACCTGGGCATGAAGGAGGAGAATCTCGGCGGAAACAGAGGATTCCCCGGGGCCCTGGAAGGACCCCAGAAGCCAGAAGACGACCAGCGGCCCTGGAAAAACCCTGAGGACTGCTGACGGCCTATCGCTGCATGCGCCGCGGTGGACGACCGGACGACGAGGAGAACGACGAGGAAACGGACGACGAGGGCGGGGAGGGGGACCACGACGACGACCACGACGACGACCACGGCGACGACGACGACGACGACCACGCCGACGATCACGGCGACGACGACGACGACGACGACGAGGGGGAGGCTCACGAGCCGCGAGCGGGGCGCCACGGTCTGGCACCACCGCCGGCCACGACCGCGACGCGGACGCGCTCGGAGCAGCCTTCTGCTGGCAGGAGGCGCAGGCCACGCACGGGAGGGGCACGCGAGGCGCGAGCGAGGGGCACGGGAGGGGACAGTCACCCGCCCAGGGCACCTGCAGTGGAGGAGCTGCTCTTAAGTCGGGCCTGTCCCCCTACAGGGGGATTTTCGACGAAAAATAAAAGATACCCCAAACAATAAGCAAACAAAAATCGGATGATAATATGGGAAATATTTTTTTAGCATTTGTTTTTTTGCTTTTTGGGGGCTTGTTTGGGGTACTTGTTGTTCATCGTCGAAAATACCCCTGTAGGGGGACAGGCCCGACCTAAAGTTACTCAGCACAGCAGGCCCCCTTCAGGCAAACCTGGTCAGGGAACCACGATGGGCGCCGCAAGCGAACGGGTACGCTCGGCGTGGGCTCCGAGGCATGCGTTCTGGCAACCACGCTGGCGAGGCGATGCGTGCCTGGAGCGGGCGGACGTGGAATGAACTCTCTGGCTTGCTTTCAGGCAACAGCGCTGCCAAAGCGATGGCTGCTGGCCGCAAGAGGGCATGCTTGGAGTGAGCTCCCGGCAGCAACTCTGGCATCGCGATGTGCGCCGAAAGCGAGCGGGCACGCTTGGAGTGGGCTTCCTGGGGACACCGCTGGCCATGACCGCGGGCGGGCACGCGCTCGGAGCGAGCTTCCTGGCAGAAGCGCTGGCCACGCGATGCGCACTGGACAAGAGCGTGCACGCACAGGAAGGGCACGAGAGGCTCGCGGGAAGTTCACGGGATGGGAACTGGCCCGGGGCACCTGTGCAGCCTGGAGAATTGAAGTCAACAGTGAGGGCCCCCTGGGCATGCCCAGCTTGGGAACAGCCTGCAGGACCCGAGGGGCAACGCCAATGGAGGAAACCAGCTCCGGGGGGAGGGGAGGGGAAATGTCGCCATGGAATCGGCCGACAGATCGGCGATTTAGGCCCCTGATGGCGAATACGCACGCTCCTGGGCTGTGGGCTATCGCACCCCTATCGGCGATCAGTGAGCGATTGGCGGCCGATGCGACCCCCTCTGGGCCCGTCCCCCCCCCCCTGGCGTTGCCCCCGACGTTGTCTCTGACCTCGAACGGCCACCCCCCTCCCCCCTTAGCCCCTGCAGTTGCCCCTGAGTTGGGGGAACGTCTCCAGGGCCCCTCTCCTCCAAACAGAGGGAACATCTCCAGGGCCCCTCTCCTCCAAACAGACAGAAACTCAAAATAAACAAACCAGCAAAATAAACACGGAGAGCACCGCGACGAAGGCCCGCGTGGCGCCCATCCAGTAGACGCCAGCCGCGTCGTCGTATTCGATCGGCGCCTTCAGGCGACGCGCGCAAGTGGATGGCGCGGGGAGGGGCGGCCCTCTGAGGAGGCGGGGAGGCTGAATGTTGTTGTTCCATCGAGCGCTCCATCGATCGCCAAGCCACGATCTGCCAGACCATTGCGGCGTGTACCGAGCGCTGACATGCCCCGGGGCATGCACGGGCAGTGCTTCAGTACTGCCCTCCCCGCTGGCGCTTTCATGCCATCCCTCCCAGAGGGCGGAAAGCTCCTCGAAAGGCAGCGGGGGCCTCTCGGAAGGAGGTCTGCCTTCGTGAAAAAGATCTGGCCCTCGCGAGAAGCCGGCGGCGCGCAGAAGGGCGTAGGGGGAGGGGGGGAGGCTTTTTCGAGAGAGGCTGCTCCTTGGAAGGAGCTGGCCCTGCATCTACAGACCAAGCCCGCGCCTTCTGAGAAGCAGGCGTGCTTCTGAGAAGTCCTCCCCCTTTCCCCTGACCCTCTCTACGCGTGGCCGGAGAATGCGAGGGCCCCCCCCCTCTCGGCAACTCCCCCGCCCTCTTGGCAGGCCGCCTCCCCCCTCGCGCCGCCCCCGTGGGCGCGCCGCCGGCCTTTTCGGAGCCCCCGTGACCGCCGCACGGGTGGGCCGTCCACGACTCGCCGCGCGCCTGCACGCGGTAGGCGACGCTCGCGCACTCCTGCCAGATGCCGCTCAGGCTAACAGCGCCGGCGGAGCCCCTCGCCAGCTTGAGGCCGTCCGAGCTCGCGTGCTCGCTCCACCTGGGGGCGGGGGGGAGGGGCCAACAGACTGCACGAACATCGGAGGCGTCCAAGAGGGTGGCGTCCAAGAGGGGGGGTGCAATCCATGGCCGGCGGCACGTGCGCGGCCCAGGGGAGTGGCGGGGACGTATCGGAATAAGAAAAAACCTTATGAAGTCTGGGGAGATATCATGGCCCCCGGCATGAGATCCACACACACACACACCCATAGTCATCACCCCCTCTCTGCCGCCCCCGAGGACAGGAGCTTCCGGAGCTCCGCCAGTGCTTGTCGGGTCGGCGCTGCCCCCCGCCCTCCCGAAGCCCCCTCCCCGGCGCACGGAGCGCGCCTGGGGCAGCGCCGGAGGCGCCGCCAGGGGCATCGGGAGGGGGGCCCGGCATGCGCAGACCCCTTGCAAGGACTCCGCGCGGACCTCCGAAAAAAAGCCGGTGGTCCTGCGCCCCTTACTTGGACGCCCGAAATGGGTACGGAAAACATGGGTACAATGCCCAACAACAAATGTTGTCCCAAACCTACAGCGGCCGCTGTTGGGCAGGTTTTTTGTTTCTTCATCAGGGGGCGGGACCAAGGTTACCTGTTTATCTGGATGAAGCAGCTCCTGAAGCCGCGTCTTCCCTCTCCTGAATTCGTTCCAGGAGAGCCAACATGCGAGGGGTCTGTGGGAGGCTGTATAGCCTCGCCCTCATCTGCCCTACCTCCTGAGGAGGGGGGAGATAAATTGCATACTGCATATACCCCACTCCTCGTCTCAGCGAATTTAAGACTCGTGCGGAGGCTTCGCGCGAATGAGGGTGGAGGCCAAAATAAATTTCTTTCAATGCGACGGTCGTTCCAACAATCTTCCGCTGCTGGCAGTCACGACCCAACAAAAAACAGCGGCGTGTGGTGTACGCACCACATGTCGTGCAAAAGTACAACGCCGTTTCGTTCGATCTGCCAGCTTGGTCAGATCTAGTGACAACATTGTAGGCAAAAGTGTGACCCGTGTCAAAACTGAAAGTTCCCTCCCAAGTTTTGCTCGGCCCAGGGCATCCTAGCAAGGGTCTCGACGCAACGTCTCTGCAAAAGAGTCTGCACCGTATGCATCCGGCTCTGCCGACTTCTAACTTCCCCCAGCAGTGCCCACCGCCAGACTTGAGGAACCTTGCCCGAGGTCCAGGGGGAGGGCGCTCGAATTTCTCATTGGGGAAAACGCACAGAACCTTGGCGGGCACACGGGCCGCGAAGGTTAACTCGTCCAGGGAAACATTCAGCACCTCCGAAACATGTGGGGAAGGAGAGGGGTGGAGGGAAAGGGAATGCTTGGCGAGAACGTCTGCGTTCCAATTCCCGACAGCGATTCTTCTCTCTCCGTCAGGGAGCAAATTTATCACACTGCGAGCTCGATGGGTATGGGGTGTGGCGCACTTCAGGCTCATGATCCCGTTTTTCGCGTAGCCGTGCTCCTCTCCTCATCCCTGCATATCGATGGCGGCGATCCACTTGATGGCGAGGATCGGTCATGCATAACTTAACTACCGTCATGCAGTCGCTTTATCGCACACCCGAGTAGGGCACAAAGAACGGGATCAGCGACATAGCCTGGTGCTCCGCCGCCTGCGGCGTCTGGGGCAGGACGCCCCCGACTGTTCCTCTGGCATAGGCAACGATGTCATCTCCAGGTCCTACAGGCATACGCTGCCCTTGAAAGCTCGCGGATCGCGTGCCCTGCACACGATCCGTCCATGCAAACACCACATCCTCTTAAATCGATGCTCCTCGAAGCCACTTCTTCCTTCTGGGGGGTGAAGAGTCCGGGGTTGGGGTCGGTGTGTGTGTGTGTGTGTTTGTGTTTGTGTTTGTGTTTGTGTTTGTGTTTGTGTTTGTGTTTGTGGTTGCGTGTGTGTGCGTGTGTGTGTGTGTGCGTGTGCGCGCGCGTGTGTGTGTGTGTGTGTGGGGGGGGGGGGGGGCGGGTAGCTGTTTTCGGGGTGTTCCATCTTCAACTCATCCCAAAAGCTCCTGCATGCACTTTCAGCAGCCTCCTGCAGCCATCATCCATTACCACCTGCCGCTTCTAGACGCACAGCTACAACTTCAGGATGCTGGCATTGCCATGCTCTGTGCCTGACTGAGTCAGGTTGTCCGCAAAGAGGGCAGCGTCCGTCGCTAGAATATCCTGAAGCTCGTGCCCGTGCACGTGTCCAGGGGGTCCACAAACGCTCTCGCCCCTGGAAGCGACGGGGAATTCGCGGCCAGCTTGCGTTCATGACCTCGCTGGGTGAAAAAACATCAGGAAGTGACCGACAATGGACGGAAACGCATGAGCCACATGAATCTCTCTGCCATAGTCGTCTTCCCACGTAAGCACAAATGTGGCGCACCAGCCGAGTCTGAATAACGGCAGACGCATGTGTTGGATCGGCCCACGGGAATTCCTCCAGCTCGCCTGGTTGTCGAAAGGCAGGACGCACCACATCTGACATATCTGATTGACGCTATAATGTGACGTGACGGGGTCCGTGACCGCAAGCCACACAATGAGCCCAGTGCAGGGCTGGCGCAACTCCTGCCCCCCAGACAGGATCTCCTCCGACACAAAGTTTGGCGGCGAGCGAACACCCTCGCTGACGCGGGACGCGATGCGACAACATGCCACGACGCGCTTGCTGCAACTCGTGATCGCTCATGCCAACAACAGCAGCTCCGAAAGCGGCGGCAGGCTGAAGTCCTGCGACAAGTATATTGCCCATGCACCCCTTCTGCCTGGGTAAGCTACGACGGTATCTCTGCAACACCGTGCGCCTCTTATACATGCACTTAAACCTAGCCTTACGCTTGCGAAGAGCATGCTTGGTCGATCGCCGCTGCCCAGGCGCAAGGTCCGCTCCTAGGCTGACAGTGCTATTCGTGACATGACCAGCCATTTGCCTTAGCAGCCTTCCCAGTTTCTTGGCAGGGCCTACAGAACTGCCGAAGGTGGTGAGTTTTCCCCTTGCAGTCCGACTTTCAGATTATTTCGAAACAACGCAAACATGCTCGCACAAGCCTAAACCATCCTCTCGAGAGCCTCGGCCTCCGTGCTGCCCTCAGCCGTTAGGGCTTCGTCGTCAACGCACGAAGGGAGAGCAACCTGGGGGCGGCTGCTGCAGAATCGATCAAAGGCGCCAGCGCTGTAGACCCGCACGAACAGGTCGCTGAGCATGTCCCCCGCAGGGAGGCCACTTAGGGCAAAGTAGGGGTTCGCATTGTACATGCATCCAGGCCTGAGGATACTGGGGCCCCTCCCAAAGTTGCACGCGGTCTTAACAATGACCTTATTGAACCAGAACTCAAGCGCCCTAGTCTTTAACAGCTCCAAATCGAAGTTTTCGTAATATTTCGCCCCGTCCCAAGTCACCCCCAGAGTAACCTTGCCCGTCGCCTCGGCCACTTCAGCCTTGACCGCCTGGCACCACGCGGCATCCTCGGCGCTGCGACCTGGCCCGGGGGCCCAAAAACGGCGGGAGTAGATGGAGTTGAACTCCAGAAAACGGAGCCCCCGCAGACGTTCCCAAACTCGGACAGGCCCCGGGCGCAAAGGGGATCGGTCTAACCCCCCCTTGGGCTTATCGAGGAGGGGGAACAACGTCCAGAACAGCTATTTAGGGACCACCCCCAAGGACTCGATGGCCTGGAAGATGGCCCCGAGCGCGCCCAGGGCGACGTCAGAGACCAGAGACAGCTGGCGAGGTTGAAGCCCGTCCAAAGACTGCGAAGTCATTCTAGAGAAACTGTTGCTGGCGGCGCGGATCACAGCCGCCGAGGCCCGAGGGGGATGGCCCCTGTCCATGACTTCGACTCGGGCGGTGGGCGCGCTGGCATGCCAAAACTCAGCCAAAGACCTACTTTCAGCATCAAGAACATCACGCGGGTTACTCGTAAAGTGTCCTGCCGTGGCCTGGGCGACCGTGGGATCCCATGTTTCTTTCACCTTAGCCAAACGATGCATAGCCCGCCCCCCCCCAAAAAAAAAAAAAACGCTGTCCCCTCCTCTTTGTTCCTGTTCAGGGTAGCTTGAGCAAGCTCCAGGTCGTCGTTCCAGGAGTCAATGAACTCCTGAGCATCCTGGAGCCACAAGGAGGAGGCGGAAGACCACCTGGGGATCAGCTCGCGCGCCTGTCTGACCGTCGCGCCCAACCTGACACTCGACCCTTCGCCTGGCACGGGCTGCATCTGCAACTGTTCGGTTTGCGAGTCCGCCTATTGCTGAAGTTGGCCCAACCTGCTGGGATCGACCCTGGAACTGTCCTGGGCGTCCAACAGCCGCTGGGAAGCTCCGACCTTCTCATTCAGATGTTGGGCCAGCCAGTCCCATCCCGAGGAAACTTCACCCCTGGTGGCCTTCTCTGGCCGCTCGAAGATGGGGGCCCACCGAGGCTTCAAGAAGGCCCCATTGTGGCCCTTTACTAGCGATCTCCACTCCAAAGAAACTCTCGAACGCGTTGGCCAAGACTTTCCACCCATAGGTCAACTGGGCCCAGGCCCTCCCGACAGGAAGGTGGATGGCAGCATCGGCAGCCGCCTCCGCCAGACTTCGGGAAAACGTCCAATCCTGGGGGCAGGGGTGGGTCCAACAGGGAGTCCCACGGGTAACTTCTGGTTGGCGTGGTAATTAAGCTGGTAAAGATGCACAACTTTGTCTCTTTACTTAACGCGCGCCGGCTTGTGGGGTCTACCCGCCCACGACACATCAGTACCTATCTGAACCACCGCTCTGGCCATGCTCGCGCTGGCCTTGAAAAAATCGATGGTCGCGGGCGCACTGGGCGAGACGCAGGTGCGCTGCTCGGGCACGAAGAGCGCAGCGTCGAGACGTCTCGGCTATCCTGTGCTGTCCACCAGACCGATTTCCATGTTCCAGTCAGCTCCTACACGAAAAAAATGCCCCCTCGCAAGATGCGAGCCGATTTTCTTGAGCACACCGAGGTTGGACTCACAGAGTCCAGCACCAGATTTCAGATAAGCACACGCAACCATCAAGGGTGGCCACGAAGGGATATCGACCACCGCTTTAATAATCCTACTGGGAACGACGATGCCAGATCCATCCGATGGCCATCTCAGACCCGAAGATTTTCTGACCAAAATGGCCACCCCCCAATGTTGGTTGCCCCGACTGTCCTGGGGCCGAGGGGGAGGAAAGCATCTTCCAACCGAACTTAGATACCGCATCGCAATTTTCACCCAATCTATCCTCCAACACGCCAATCTCCTGGGAGAAGACGACGAGGGCAGGGGTGGTCGCCAGACGGCCGCGTTCCGTACTCCAGGCATTTCCGTTGTAACACTCAATGCATTCGCCTCCGCCAAACACCCCAGGGCGGTCAGAAGGCGGAGGGGCAGGCGGGGGAATCGGAGCGCCGAATTGCGAAAGAGGCAAGCCACTACACCGTGGCAGAGGGGTACCGTTACCCCAGGCGCTGCTTCTTAAAAAGGTCACGCAGCTGCTCACCGAATTCCCTCTTGTCAATGCGCTGTGCACTCAAGAAAACCTGATCAAGCTCAGCATCACCAAGGCCGAGATCAGGCACACTCTGATGCTCAGCCGGTCAACCAGGATCGTGCGGGGGGAAAGCAAAAGGCGAGGCCACAGGCTCATCGCTGGTCACCATATTGATGTCCCCGCCTCCTTCGACAACGAACGGATATGCAAGTGGCACGGGCTTCGTCGCCGCCATCTTCTGCTGATCAATGAACTTCTTGAACGTAGCAAAACGCCGGAGACGCCATGAGCTCTTGCACCTCCTTTTTATCATCACTTTCGATAGCACCCAAATCGATATGGCACGTCGAGGAAGGCTCGACCGACGCTGGCATAGTCTCCACGAGTTTCTGATTGAGCCACACAAACTCTTTCGCCACTGCCGTTTGCTGTGCCGTGAGACTGTCGAGCTTCTCGTTCGCCTGCTCGATGACCAGCTGCTGCTGCTGCTGCTGCTGCTGCTGCTGAACATCTTGAACCAACCTGCGCTGAATGGCCTCGGCCTTGAGGATCTTATGGCCAATGGCTGTGTGTTGAGACAAAACAGGCTTGCATTCAGCGAAAGCTTGACGTGCTTCCTTGAACTGCTTATCCAATTCTGCCTTTGCTTGAAACCCGTTGGGACCACACTTCTCGACCATGCGAATGGTGATGTCCAGGTCCTTGATTTGATCACGAAGCTGTTGTTCTGTACCTGTCTCCTGCGCTGGATGAGAAGAAGCCACACCCGTCCCAACAGGAAGAGACTGCAGACTATTGCCGTTGTTGTCGTTGTCCCCACAGTTGCCGAAAAACGTCTCGACGCGTTTGGCCAAGGCATCGAGCTTCTCTTGAAGTGGGTCATGCCGTCCAACTGAACCTGGTGCACGTCGAGCAGGGCGCCCACCAACAGCAGGACGATTCTGAGTACCGTTCTGGCTCTGGGCGAGCTTGGCGTTGCTGCGCGCCGCAGAAACAACCTTTTGCGGTGCTGGTTTGCCGCATCTGCATGAAATCCGTGAAGCCCAGTTGGTGTTGAAGCCGCAGCCTCCGCACGCCCAAAATGGGGTGCGAGGCCCAGGGAGTATTGGCCCGTCGCCATCGGCCATGCCCCTTGGGCTGCGAGGGAAAGAGCTGCTCCTCCAGGAGCTCACAGGAATGGTGGCGAGGCTGCCGCACCCCTGTGGTGCACAAAAAAGGTGGGGACTCGGGCCGCTCCCCTCGGCTGCAATCAAGCTCCCAGCGCAGGGAGCAACGTTGGGAACTTGAGCCAAAATGGCTGCGGGCGGTGTTGGGCAGGCGACCTTCTGTCTCAAATGGACACAGGCCGCGGCGGCGCGGACAGCGAACCCCGTGCAAAATGAACCGGAACTGCTGTTGGGCATTTGACCCCTTCTCTCCGTGCCCGTCTCGTTCGTGCCCATCTTCTTCATGCCTGGCCACCGGCCGGCACGGGGAACACTCCTGCCGCTGGCATCTCCGCTGCTCGTCGAGCAAGGGCTGCCCGGCGGCTCCTCGTCGCTGCCGGCGCGCGTCTCCTCGTCGTCGGTGCTCCCCGGGGAGCGGCCCCTGGGCTTGGCCGGGGAGCGGCCCCGCTCGGGGGGCGGGGCGCGCACGGGCGGGGCCGCCGCCGCGCCCCGGAGCGGCGTCAGCAGGAAGCGGATGCCGCGGCGGGCGGCCTCGACGGCGTGCGGGGGGCCCGAGACGTGGGCCTCGTCCTCGCGCAGGGGCCCAGAGGTCCAGCGCACTGAAAAAAAGCAAGACGGACGTCTCTCTCGCAGCTTTCGGCCTCCAGGGGCCCTCGCCCGGCCTCGGGACCGTCAAGAAGACGACTCGGGATGACAAGCCGGTCCTGGGGAAGGGGTCGAGGCTTCGGGGGACCGCGCATTGGAAAAATCACGACATCCCAGGCATGCGACGTCCTGATTTCTTCAGGACGCCGTCCCTGGAGGTCCAGAACCTTTCCCTGGGGCAGGTTTTTCATCCTGCATCTTGTTTTTTGACGGTCCCGAGGCCCGGCGAGGGCCCCCGGGGGCCGAAAATAGCGAAACACCTCCCGTCCTGATTTTTCTACGGCGCCATCATGTCTGGGATCGGATCTCTGGGGAGGGCGCCAGCTGTGCGCTGGCAGCCAGACCCTGGCCAGGCCGCCGGGCGAAGCAAGAGGCCGCCCGGCAGGCCGGGAGCTCGGCGCGAGCCGACCTGCGACCACCCTTCGGCCCAGGGCTGGTGCAAGGGTTCCCTCCTGGCCCTGCCACCAAGACCTGCGGGGAACCTCGGCTGCCCCACAACGCCCGCTGCCCGGGTCGAATCTGCGTCGACCTCGTCAAATCCGCGTCGAATCCACAACCGAATCCACGTCGAATACAAGTCGAATACAAGCCGAATCCGCGCTGAATCCACGCCTACCACGCGTCGGATAGCAGAACAGACCGCAACTCACAGGATAGACAAGGCCCCCCGGCGATGCAACGTAAGAAGACACGTACAGCCGATCCTAAGACCCCCCGAAGAGGCAACGCAAGATGGCACGTGCAACCGATCCCATGAGCCTCCCAGAAGATGCCATGTAAGAAGGCACGCGCGTACAACTGATCCCATGCGCAGAGTCGACGTGGCCAGGGTCGGCGCAGGTGTCAGGACCCAACTCATGGGAGCTGCTCGCACAAACGACTGAGGGCAATCAAGCCCCGAGCAAGGGGCCACTGAGCTGGATGGGCTCACGATTGAGCCCGCTGGATCAACCGAATATAGCGGGATCGAACCGGGCTACGCTGGACTACGCCCGATCAGACTCGTTTCCGCCAACAGAGATTGGGGAAACCAAGAGGTACCGATACCGCTACTCCCCGGACCTCTCCTGGGGTGCGCTCCGACCAAGATGCCAAGGCGAATCCAGCGGTGGCGACGCGGGCCTCCCAGGAGGCCCCCAAAAGGGGCAAACGAGGCAAGGGCAGCGGTGTGGCTACCTCGCCCTCCTCCGAGCGGATGCTGACGTGTGACATCCCACGGAGTGCTTCGGGTCGGGCGAAAGGGGGGGATAGCAAAGGGGGGGGGGGGAGAATCAGCTCACGTAGCTGATTTTCCCGGCGCCTCCCGGCGCCCGTATACGCGCCCATGCATCGAGGAACGGGCCCCTCGGTGAGGTCGATACCAGCTGCATGCAGCAAATGTCGTACCCCCCCCTTTCCCAGTCCCCCCCCTTCGTCCGGCCCGAGTGTTGGAACCCGGCAGAAGCGCACCCAGATGGTCTGGTACCAGAAATTTTCGGTAGCGATTTCGACGCACCCCGAATTTCGGTAGCGACCGGATCTTCGTTTGAGGGCGTTGAAATAGCGGATTTCAGAACGGTCTGATACCGGCATTGGGCGCTACATTTCGGTATTTCGGTAGCGACCGATCTCTGCGGAGCGCTACTGGAAATTTTCGGTAGCGGACCATCAGGGCAGAGCCCGCGCCCCGCGGTCCTTCCGCACGTCAAGCCACACGCGGGCGCCGGTCTCCGCCTGGAGCGCCGTGACCTGGGGGGCAGCGCCCGGGGGGGGGGCCACGCTCGGGGAGGGAGGCATCGATTAGGGGGCCAGATGCGAACCCTCCCCCTCAGAAATCGTGGGGGGTAGGGGTAGGGTTCACATGTGGCCCTTCCATCGAGCCTGGATCAGCGAGAGGACCAGCCTCCAAGCAATGCTCACCCCGAGGCTTTGGGGAGGGGACCTCTGAGCAGTGGGGCCAGGAGCCTCAGGGATCGGGGGCCCCCTATCTGCAGAGGTGTCGAGCACAGCCGCCCGGATCTGCTATCCCTGAGGCAAAGACGGGGACCCAAGTGAGGCCACGTCTTCACTGTGTTATGATAAAGTTTGGGCCTTGCTGACCCTTTGCGGGCGGGGCGCGGCCAGCGAAAGCGGCCAAGGATGAGCCGAAGGGGAAGGGTGCAAGGGTAACCTTGGAGAGCTACTGTTCCTCACTATGCGGGTTGACCGTGGGCCCCCGACAGCGAAACCGAGTGTTCCTGGGCGGGGTGGGCTATCGGGTCCCTGTCGCCGCTGAGTGGGCGAGGCTCAGCACCTGGAGAGCACCCTGAAGCTGGACAGCCACCGAGAACCAGCAACAACGCCCAAGAACCTCGAACCTCGAGCCTGTCGCCCCTACCTGAGCCCATCCCACACGCAGCCTCCCCCAGGGGTCGACGCCTACCGCGACATGTTCTCAGAACCAAGAAATTATCTAATCTGAAACGAAAACAGTGTTCTTAAAACACAAGCCCGATGGATCGAAACAAGACGGTCCCAGCCAGAAATGCTCTAAGGACATCCTTGTGCAAGCCGCAAAAGGTTCACATAACGTTTGTAAGTGGGCATACAGGCAAGCCACGACGCTTCGCCACCCATCGATGGTGACCGTCGCCGCGCGGGGCCCCAGGACGTGGCCGGTGCACCCCGCCGGCAGGCGCATGACGATGGCGACGGTGTCGGAGTCGCGGGAGCTGCCGCGGGGGCTGCCGCCGCGGGGCTCCTGTCCGGGTCTCCGCGCAAGAGCGGGGCGGCGCGGTGGTGGCGGCTCGAAGGATCCTCAGAACACGTGCCAGCGTGGCCGCCTGCGCGCGCCTGCACTCCGTGTACACCCTGCGAAATGCTCAAGAAATCATGGGTTAAGAAATTCATAGTCTCAGAACTTGAATAACAACCCAGCATTTCCATTACAATCTTAGGATTTACATTGAAACGTTGAGAATAATCGAGACTCTGGCCGAAAACTTAAGTTTTCTTAAGCATCGCCTAAGGTGTACTCTCGCCGGCCCAGCCGCTGCCCACCCTCCGGCGCAGCGGACAGCCTCCGAGTGTCCGCCCGCCCCGGTGCGCCCCGTGCCCAGCGCGGCCCGCAGGCGCTGTGCGGACTCTCCTGCGACCGCCTGCGCTGACGATTCCGAGGCATCGCCCACGAAGGATTGTCCACCGAAGCCTTCCCATGCGAAGCAGGCGGTGCAACGGGGGTACGGGGGTCAACAACAGGCTGCGCGCTATCGGCGGAGCCGAAGAGGGTAAACACTCTGTCTCCCCACATTCACACACTTGGGCTGGCACGCGTCCCAAGGATCGTCGAGCGGCCTTCTGAAAGGAGGCGCGGGAGCTTCCACAGGGGCAATCGGGGCGTCTACGAAGCGCCCGGATGCCCCTCAGATGCTAGGAGAGCGGCCGCCTCACTTCCTGCAGTCGGGTGAATCTTGCTGGCAGTGCTTATTTTGAGCACGTGCCAACATATCGGAAGCGCGTGTCCACGCACGCGCAGGCGCGCACGCGCACCCGCTCGGGCACGCGATCTGGATGGGGCTCGGATCCGGGCTCGGTCTCCAAGTTCGCGCTCGGTCTGGAGGCCTGGCTCGCGTTCGGGCCGCGCACACCCGCGCGCGCGCGCTCAGGATATGGGACTCGGGCCCGGGCTCGGGCTCGACCTCGCGCTCGGGCTCGGGGTCTGGCTCGCGCTGGGGCTCTTGCTCGGTCTCGCTCCAGCGCCCAACTTTCACGAGGGAAGGTGGCTCCAGCACGCCATGTCGTCAAGAAGGGTGGGTTCCAAGACCCAATGTTTACGAAGGACAAGGGTTCCAACAGCCCACGCCGTGGATTCCAGCACCCGATGTAGACTAAGGAAGATGGTCCCAGCAGAGTATGCCGTCGCGAAGGGTGGGCTCCAGCACCGATGTTGTTCAAGCAGCCCACGGCGTGGTCTTCCGTACCATCTTCTGACGAAGGAGAGCCGCTCCAGCAGCTGATGCCTACAAGACGACCCGGCCGTCGTCTGAAAGGGCACCTAGAGCGACCCGCGCACCAGCTACGAACCCTCATACAACCCGTCAAGCATTTAAACAAGCACAATACTCACCTGAATGTTGAGGCTCACCAGCCTCCTTGAGCCGCACTGCCCCCCCCCATCGAACGACCCCCCTTTGGTGGCGCGCCGCCCTTCCTTCTGGGACGGCCCGTGGAAGTCCTGCTTGGCCTGCGCCTTGGCGCGGCCCAGCTCGGCCACCACCTCGTCGGGGTTACGCAAAGACGGGCTTAGGGGCAGAGGTGGGCTTACAGGAGAATCTCTCCAAACGGCCCGTGTAACAGTGCAGTGTGAAAATCCAGCTGGGCATGCTCCCGAACCCCACCTTGAGACAACCCCCCCTCTACGAACCCTCGACCTCGGCGCGCTGAGCCTCGGCGGGGCCATCGGGGGATTCCGAGGGCAGCCACGGGCGCGCCGTGCACAGCTCCCTGTACGCCTCGCGCCAGCAGCGCTCCTCGACCAGCGCTGCGGCCCTCTCGGCGGTCCGCAGCAGCGCGAACTGCGCGACCTCGTCGAGACCGAGCAGGCTGAACGCGGGCTCGTCGACCTTGCTGGTACCTTCGACGCCTCGAAAATATGTATACACGGGCACCCCGCCGACGAATTGTGCCTGAACCTCCAGGAAGGGTGGCGGTGTATAAAGTCGCCGGCTCTCAGTTGTGATTTATACACCGCCACCCTCCCCTGAGGCCCAGGAGCAGTCCATTGGAGGGTGTCGGTGTTTGTACTTTTGTGGCGCACCTTCCCAGTAGACCACGTCTTCGGCAAAGGACTTCAGGGTGGCCAGCATGCGGCAGGTCAACCCCATCTGCTCCTGAGGGGACACGGTTGGGGTGGGAGGGCAGTTCGGGGTGGGAACACCGAACTGAAATCGGCCATACGCCGCGGATGATTCGGCGATGGACCCCCGACCCGATGGCGAATCCCCACGGTCCTGGGCGGGACCGGCCCATCGGGCCCCGATCGGCGATCAATTGGCCATCGGGGGGTCGGTGCCTCCCCCCCTGAGCCCCTCCCCACCCTCCAGCTTCCCCTGAGCTCCGTGGTGTCGACCTCGTCGAAACTGAGGGAGCAGAACTCGGCCACCTTGGAGCGCATCTGCACCACCCGCGCGCCGCGCCCCGGCTTGGGGAGCGCGGGGCGCTCTGGGCGCTGCTGTGCCGCTGGCGACGCGGCGGCCTCGGCCGCCTCGGGGGGCTGGCCGCGCGCAGCCGCCAGCATCTCGCCGAAGCCGTCCGCCCCAACCGCGGCCGCCGGGGAGTCCCTGGCGTCGCTCGTCCTCGCCCACGGGGCGACTGCGGGGCGGGAACGGCCGCCCTTCTCCTGGGGATTCGCTGCGGCGGCGGCGCCCTGCGGGCGATCCTCGGAGTTCGCCCTGGCAGCGGCGCCCGCGGGCGTCCCCTCGGCCGCTTCCCGCTGGGCTGCGCGCCGCCTGGCGCGCAGCGATCGGAGGGCAGAGGCACCGTGGTCCTTCACGGCCGCTGCTGTGATGCCCAGGACTCCAATCAGCAAGCCCTGCACCAAAGCCTCGCAAGTCGAGCCAGCACCCGTTGTGGCCTCAACGCCCTCTGCGGAAAGCTCCTCGGAGTCCGCGCCAGGCAGAGAGGCCAGACAGACAAAGCTGGCCACCACATGGGCATGCTTGAGAACGTTGCAATTCAGGACGAGCGCCATTACAGGGCGCTTGTATGGACTATGGACTGCGAGTCTGAGAACGAAGTGCGCGGCCGGAAGGTGGATCGGATGCGCCGAAATCTGTTCGCCGTGCAAGCCGGCGGTAGAGCGTTTGTTGACGTGGGACGTTGGTCCTCGAGAGTGACTGTGTGATTCCTAGTCTTGAGCCAACACCAAAACAGTAGAGCTTGCGCGAGTACTTGGCAACGCGCGTCTGCTTGCTGATTGCTGCGCGCATACGATTACCGGCACTTGCTCGCGGTTGCCGACACGTGGACCTTCAGCCTCGAGTATGGCTGCTTCCTGGGATATGCTGACTTGTTGCCAACTTGCCTGTGCTCCCTGACACGAGCTTGCTGACTTGCTCGGTGTGCTTGGTCGCGTCAGCCTGCTTGTGCGGACTGGCTTGCATTCGCTTGTTTTATCATGAAAATGTACGCGTGCCTGCTTGAAATAAGTACCTAACCGAGCCGATCCAACCTCAACCAAAATACAGGCAGACAGTCCGCATACACGCAGCACGCGGGCGAACGGCCACATACAGCGTCCACCATTGGCACATCACCCACGCCCGCACGCCCAAAGGGACGACTTGCTGCGTTCCCATACCCACGGCCAAACGTCGCCCACGTGCTTGCAACAAATAAAAACAACTTCCTCCAAACAAACTGTTCGTCGTGCGGACCCGGAGCACCAGGCGTATACATCACACATGCTGGATCCCTAATGTGCCCACCGCGCTTGCATCACGGTGGATGTTGTCAAACCCTTTCAATCCGCCAGCTTGCCGTCAACACGTTGGGACGTGCTAACAACATGCCGTCTAGCTGCCAAGCAAAAACTGCAGGAAACAGGAAACCCGCCAAAATACACGCCCAAAGATTCTGCAGAACCCCCAGCACGTCTCCAACAGGCCCTGCAGGACCCAGGACGCCACAAAGATGCGCCCAACAAGATCTGCGGCTGCCCCAGCGGGCGACGCCGTCCTCCAATTCATAGAGGCGGTGGCAATCCTCTTCCTGTCGCCAACGCGCGTGTTGAGCCCAGCGCGTTGAACCCTATACCTGGAAGCCTGCGGGATCCCGTTCTGCATGGAGCCCCGCGTGCGGAACTGGATGTGTGCGGAATCCTGCGTGGAACCCGGCTGTGTGCTCGTGCGTCCGTGTGGAATCCCACGGCGGCAAAGGCTGGAACCCATGGCGGCCACGGCCGAGCCCTGCGCACCGCCCCTCGGCAACGGCCGAAACCCCCGGGGCGGCGACGGCCAGACCAGCGCTCGGTCCGCCTGCAGCGGCCATGTGGCCCAGCTCCTGGCCAGCAAGAACCTCTCAGTTCGAGCACGGTTTGGAGAAGAATCTGCGAACAATACCTCGAACGGGAGGCCCAAAAACCGGTCCGCCCTCCTTGCACAAGGAAGGTCCCGGCCCGGGGGCCTGGGGCCGGGATGTCCCATATACGTAGATGTATCGATATCGGAGGCGAGGTAGTGAGATCGCAGTGGAACTGAGAGCCCTCACCAGGAAGTCGGTTTCGGTTTCGTGTTGGTGTCGTACGTGCGCTCGAGGCGAAGCTGCGTGGGTGGGCGATAGGAATGAACCCTCCTCTGGCTAGGGCGTGGCCCGACCAAAATACATGCCCCCACCCCAGGTTGTCCGGCGGTTCCCAGGGGTGTCCCGTCGGTGTCCGCACGGTGTCCCGTCGGTATCCCGTCGGCGTTCCGTCGGTGTCCACGAGTGAGATCGATAGTGAGATCGATAGTGAGATCGATAATGAGATCGGAGGTGAGATCGAACACGAGAGCGATCGAGATCGATAGTGGGATCGATCGTGATATGTCCCGGTGGTGTCCCGTCAGTTGCCCGTCGGTGCCCCGTAGTAAGATCGATATTGAGATCGCCTTTGGGATCGGTAGTGAGACTGAGAGTGAGATCATTGGTGAGATCGATAGTGAGATCGATGGTGAGATCGACAGCGAGAATTATAGCGAGATTGATAATGAGATACATTGTGATATTGGTATGGAGATCTGTAGTACGATCGATAGTAAGATCGCTGGTGCGGTCGATAGTCAGAGGGATAGTGCGATCGTTAGTGAAATCGATCGTGAGATCGATAGTGAAATCGATGGTGAGATCGATAGTCAGGGGAATAGTGAGACCGATAGTGAGATTGATAGTGAGATCGCAGGTGAAAATGATAGTGAGCTCGAGTTTGAGATCGATAGTGAGACCGATACTGAGATCTATCATGAGATCGGTTGTGAGATCGATAATGTATCGATAGTGCGGTAAAACATGAGATCGATCGGGTGATCGGGTGAGATCGATGGTGAGATAGACGGTGAAGTCGGTAGTGATGGAAATTAAGTTGGACGTTGGCTCCTTTTCCCCGAATCTCCGTATCACCCGAAGGTGGTCGTAGCTGTTTACGTGTGTATATGTACATATATATACATGTACACAGCTATGCCTATAGAGACACGTAGTATGCAACATAACATTTGAAACGCGATACGGTGCCAGACAATGCAAACTATGTTACACCTCAGACACGCCTCGCATGGCGCTGCACATGAAATTACGACGCAACCGCACTATACAACATCTCGCGGCCTAGCATAGCATGGTGTTGGTGTTGCATGTTGTACTTTGGGGCTTGCGTAGCACAGCAGCATACAGTGTGTGGTTGCATACCCAAGCATGGCATTGCGTAACATTTCAAAACCTAACCAAGCCCATCATAGCACCTCATTGCGCTCGCATAGCATCAGGATTTCACAGCATAACATTAGAACTGGCACCGCGTATTGTCACCATCATGGAATCATTGGCGTCATCACAACACCGTATCAAAGCATAGTAGCAATCCCCACTAACCAAGCAATAATACGTCATGTACAGGCCATGAACGTAGCCGCACACGGCATTAGCATCTCCTGGCATAGAATGGCGTGGCATAGAACAATAAATTTGCGCCAGGGTCTGGCGCCATGCATGGAAACCAGAATGACAACCGACTCAAAACAGGAGGCCCAGACAGGAGGCCCAGACTCTGAAGTGACAATCGACACCTGAAAGAAACCATATGGAGAAAGCCCACAGTACGGGCGGGACTTTCGGTCGGGGCAGGCGCCACCTTAGGCCAGAGGGGCTGAAGGCCAAAAAGGGTTGGTTGCCCCAACCAGCGTTGGCGCCACACAGAGCTGATGGGGCCAAAAGTAAGCAAGGACTGTTCAAGGTCAGTGTCGCAGACTGGAGGCCCAGGAACAGGAAGGAACAGAGCCCATCAGCGAGAGCACTGTGCGGAAAAACGCCCGACAAAATGTTTCGCCACAACGACCAACACGGATTGTGCCATGGCACGGCCTCCGGTCAGCATTCAGAAGGCGTCCAGGCCACCGATGACATCACCCCTGCGGCCAAACAGCCCACGAGAACCCAACACGGCCGCACGACTGGCCCACGACAGCCCCGAAACGGGCGCAAGATGTCCCAAGACTGGCTCCATACCCAGAGCCCCCAAAACGCTCGACGGTGGCCTGCAACACCCCCCGGACAATCTGAAGACTTCTGCAATCTTCTGACGAACCTCAACGGGCATTGGGACACCCAGAGGGCATCTGGACGCCTCCCTGTTCTGGGTGTCGAAGCTGTCCCCTGAGAATGTGAAGGGCCCGTGAGCTTTCAAGATAAGTGGTCATGTAGCGGTTGAGGACTTCCCTGGCAGAGGCACCTGCAACGAGGAAGCCCGTCAGTGGTACGGCACTGCCACGCTGCTCACCCACGCACGACGATGTGCGCGCGTGGCAATGCATTGCATACCATAAGTAGCATGCGCGTTGGTACGCTACTAGCCAACGGCTGCATCACGACTGCATATAGACATGAGCTCATGGTGAGATACTATAACTCTGCGTCGCCAATGCGCATACATGCATGGACACTGCGTAGCGGATTTGCATGACCCACCCAGCTTCTATATGGCGAAGACTACGTGTTGATAACATCATGTGCCATTTCTGGTTGCATCATTGCTGTCTCATTGCCACCTCAACTCCCCTGCTAAAACACGATGCGGCCCAAATGTACACAAGAAGCCGATGCGCAACTGTCAGACATGCTTTTCCGCCACGGAAGGGGGTTTGCAAAAGCCGCTGAAGGGGGAGCGCAAAACGACTAAATAGACGCTCTGTGTGTTCCCCGGAAAGGCCTTACTGGTCAGAACATTGGTCCCCCCCAAACCCCACCCCCGCGCACCTACACAAAATCCTCCAGCGCGCCAGTGGGGGTAGTCCATGGCCCACGAAGAAAAGATAAACGGGACACGCTCAAGAAAAATCGGCCGCCTGGTGGGAGCGCGAGCAAAGCAGTCCCAAACAAAGCTGGGCGTAGCCGTCTGCATAACCTTTGCCATTGCCTGCCCAGCCCATGGCCCATGCCCCGCGCACACACGCGCACACACACGCACAAAAACACACACACACACACGCACAGCAAAGAAAACACTTTCTGCGTCGCTGGCTGGGCAGAGTCACTGCGCTGGCGAAAGGACACACACACAAACACACACGTTCTGGGGGTCGCCGCCTCGCGCGCAGCGGCGAAGCGGAGAAAGTCGGCAGAGACCGAACTGAGAGCGAGCGCGGCCGGCCCCCAGAAGACGGGGCACGGATCCTGGACACACCTCGAATTTGGTGAAACCACCCTGCTGCACATGGGCCCCGGCCGGATTGAACCAGAGCATCCTGGGTGCATTTGGGCATGGGAAGCGAGGGTGGAAGAACACACACACACACACAAACTTTTGGCCTCAACGGCAACTCCATATGAATCGAAACAGACCGCACATGTAATAACGAGATGGTGGCACCGTCGCGAGCACTAAGCCTGGGCACCCCTAGTTGGATGGCACCTGGCGCAACCCTTGGGTGGACTGGACGAGGCAGTCCCGTGGAGGTAAAGCGCTGGGGCGTGGCATGCACGCGGACGACGCCGGAGAGCGGCAACGCAGGGTGGAGAAGCAGGCGCCGAGAATCACCTGGCCGACAGGTGGGCGGGGGCCGAAAGAACACACACACACGCACGTCTTCCTCCGCTTGCGATGTGACATCGTAGCCGCGGGAATACTGAGACGGGCTAGGTCAAAGTGAATCCCACGAGCCCTCTGGGTGT